GTCGCGCTCCGAGCCCCTGAAGTTGTCCTCGTGGCGGAGCAGCAGCTTCGTCATGAGCTTGTCCTTCTTCGAGATGCCCGACTGCTCCACGTCCTCGTGTTCGGCTCCGCCCTCGCCGACCTCGGCCTTGGCTGCGTCCCTCTTCTTGATGATGTCCGCCGCGGGCTCGAACATCGGGAGGAGGCGCCGAGGGCGGCAGCGGTGGCCCCGCAGGTGGGTCTGGAGCACGCAGAGAGCCAACGCGCTGCGGGCAACGGTGTTGGACATGACGAAGAAGGACATCTTTGCGAGAGAAAGAAGCACTGCAGAAGGGGCATCTCTTAGCATTCAGATCGGCGATGGGGATATCCAACCGATTGGCAACAATGCCATGCACCGCAAACCTGTGATTCTCCAATCCTTTCTGGCCCTGGCATGCTTTTCCACAATCTGGGCAAACGAGGCGATGCTCTTCATCTATGACGCCAGCTTCGCGGAGTCGGTCACTCTCAGCTTCGTGTGAGAGGACGGCTTTGAGCTCTGCGTGTGAGAGCATGTCTAGCCACTCCAGCCAGTCTCGTGAAACTGTCGGTGAATCGTTCGGAGCGCGCGTCTGGCTCTCCTCGGGAAGGCAAGCCCACAACGCACGAAGATCTGCGAGAAGTTGCCCCATTCGACAATTGTGATTTCGACTGTGGGGGTCCTCGAACGAGAGTCGGCCGAAGATTACAGCCCGTACAGCCTCGGTGGGGTCATGCTCTGGTCTTTCTGCTTGGAGCCCAGGAGCAATCACGTGTCGCCACCACTGCAGCCTACGATACAGTAGAGTTGAGCTCATACTATAGACTTTGGCACGACGTCGAATATCTACATTAGAGGCATGGTGAAGATGAGCAGGGGAGCGAAGAATATGCCGAAGTTTCTTGGTTTGCCACCGTTCGAGTTTCTTCAAATCCGTCTTCGTGAGAAAGGCAACTTCTAGTGCGTAGAGGGCGATAGACCGTACTAGCGAATTCCACAAGCGTATCTTGAGATGTAAACTGAGGTTCCCCTTCAGAACCTTCTGGGACAGCCGGCCGTGGGCCTGGTTGGCGGAGGTCAGGCGAGCCTTGACCTCAGCCGAAGACGACCCCGTCGCTGAGAGCAAACAGCCAAGGTACTTTACAGTCGGCGTCGGGTGGATCGCACGAGCCTGGCCGTCGGCGTGGGTCAAGCTAATGCCAGTCTGCTTAGCACTGATTCTCTTCCGTACCCGTCTGCACCCCTTCCCCACCACGTTCACCATCAGCTCTGTTTTCGGGACATTCATGGTTAAGCCGCTGGCATTAACGTGGATCCTCAGAAACTCTAGGAACTCGGATACCGTCGCTAAGTCGTCAACCACTGTCAACGCGATTAGGTCGTCTACGAACTTCACCTGGGACGCATCTAGCATCCGCAACTCGATAGTGGAGAAACCGACTGAATTCCTGAAGACCTGGAACTGGGGGTCGTACAGCACCTGGATGCCCTGAAAACCCTCCTCCAACGCCTTGGACCCGATGTCTTTGGTAATGAGATCGTAGATGGCGATGAAAAGCCCAGGCCCCTCCACACTGCCTTGTCTCACCCCTTTGCGAATAAGTAGTTGCCTACAAGGTTTGTTAGTACGGGCATCTCGAAGGATATAGCAGGTCCCGTTGTAGAGCTCCTCAGTAACTAAGCGGGTACAACGGGAGAGCGCCAGCCGATCTAACGCCTCCCAAACTTGACTTCGGGTCAGGAGGTCGAAGGCCTTCTCAAGGTCGATCAATGCTGCAATCAAGATGCGATAGTCGGTCTTGGTGCGACGGGGGTTCTCACGAAAACGACGGCCGATCTCGTCGACGAGGGCGATGGCGTCGCGAGTCGATCGACCTTGAAGGGCCCCAAACTGAGTAGCGGAAAGCCGGCCTGACATTGCCCGCAGCTCGGGCATGATGACCACGTTGGCGAAAGCCTTACCGATGTGGCCAATCAGGTTGATCGTCCTATAGTGATCCTTAGCATTCCTCCCGTCTCCTTTAGGTTTGCGTAATGAAACTGTCTCTCCGTTTTTAAACCTTTGTGGAACGCGGCGGAAGGCTTGAGCGGCCCGAAAGACTCCAAGAAGAGGCCCCCCTACAAGATCACTGCCAAGCTTCCAAAGTTCAGCTACTGCGCCTTCGGGGTCTGGTCGAGGCCCATTAGAGTTCGAGGGGTCCGTCCACTTCAGCACAGGGGCGCTCTTGAAGTTGGGGAGCCTGCTGAGGGCCTCGGTGATGTCGTCCACTTCGTACTGGCCTACGAGCTCCTCGTCGGGTTCCTCGGGGATGTCCTGGGGGCCTCCATCCTCTTGCATGGGCAACTCCGTGGCCTCAAAAATGGCACAGAGGGCATCGGTGCGGACCCGCTGGTCCTCGACGTCGTCGAAGCACGGGTAGCCCGTGGCTGGGTTGCGGACAGTCAGCATAGGCATGCGGGGCTTGGGCGCAAGGCGCTTGACGATCGAGTAGCAGCGTCTGATATCATGGACGGCATCGGCACGCTCTGCGTCGGCCACCAGGGCCGCAATGTGTTGTCGCCTCTCCGATCGCACTGCCTGCTTTGCTCTCTTTGCCGCCCGTCGGAACTGCGACAAGATGGATTTGTAGAGCCACGAGCTATGATCTATGATATTGGGAAGCATTCTCTGAAAGTACTGCTTGTGTCTGACCAACGCCAAGGTCGCGTCAGTGAGGTTCTTCTGTGGAGTCACCTTTGGTGAATCTACATAAAGCGGGTAAGCTGCGTCGACTACTGCTCCTTCCACGGAGTTGTAATAGCTAGATGTCGTGGTATATCGTTGGTGGGTGCCACACTCTTGTTGCCAGTGTCCAGTGATGGCACGAACTCGGAGCTCGTGGCGGAGCCTACTGCGAAAGTCTTGTACACGTGCTGGTACCTCATCCGAGTGTTGAAGAAGTTTGAGATCATGAAGCAGAAGGTCACGGTTCCACCGAACAGGTGGGTCCTGGCGAAGCCGCTGGCATCTAAATCGGGCTGAGATCGTGGCTTCGAGAGGGCGGTGGTCGCGAAATCCTCCCATGCTGACGGGCAGAGAATGTAGGACGCGAGCTCCATGTCCGTAGCCTCCTTGCAGTCTGGTGCAGATGTAGTCTATCTGATTCCATGTGGTGCCATCAGTGTGAAGCCAGGTCCCCGCATTCTTCTTGCGGCTGCCATGAGTATTCAACGCTGTCAAACCGTTGTTCTGAAGGACAGAAAGAAAGTGGCCGCCGTTCAAATTCGTGGTTCTCGGATGTCTATCGACTCCAGCATGGCCGACGTTAGGAAGTTCAGGCGCCACCGTACCATTGGCATCGAGACACCAAATCAGTGATGATCTCTGGGGCACTCGTCGTATGATGTCGTCACAGGTCTGCCAGAAAACGGCCTGCGCTTGTCTATGTTCAGCTTGTACTCGGTCTCTGACAGCTGCCGCCACATGAGTGCTCGCCGTGTTGGTTGGCGCGTAGCCGTTCAGGATGTAGAGGTCTCGCTCACGGGCTCCTGTACGTCGAACGCGGAGTCCCAGAAGTCGGCCAGGTATCCATTCATGGACGCATCGGACCTCCAGCGGGTCAAAGAAGTGCAGGTTAAGCGCCGTCAAGCAGCCGTCCTTCGCGCGTGGAGATGTCCTCGGGGTTGGGTAGACGCGAAAGCCCGCGCTGGTCCAGGATGTGGTGGCTCCCATGAGAGTGCTCTGAAAGCAAACGACAGCGATCTGTCGCTCACGTGCGTGTCGTAATAATTCTCCCAGGCGGTCAATGTATATCAGTGATTCTGTGTTGTAGCTCCATACCTTCATGAGGTGGGTAGGTCTTGGTCGTCGTGGTCTGGAAGGTCGCAACGAGCTCGAGGAAACGTCGGTGACCGTCGGGAAGGACGTCACGTCATGCTTAGAATAGTAGGCAACCGTGGGGCGTGTCAGCAACTGGCCTCGGTACCAACTGCTGCCTGTCACCACCGCGAGTCTCACCGCACGTCTCCAGGCCCGTTTGCCACCCATGGGCCCTGGTTCCAGCCTGCGCTTGCCGTCGTGGGACGCCTGCACGCTGTCCTCGGAGGTCGGGCAGCCTCCGAACGCTCACCTCGCTGGCGTCGAAGCAACTAGCAGCGCCCCGCCGCGCCACAGGCATCGCTCATGGCGGGTCTGGCAGGGCACTCGCGCGGGTCGCAGCCAGGGGGGGACTTGCGACCCCCCTCCCCTTCGGAGGCAAACGGATCCTTTGAGCCGTCGAGGCTTCGCCATTCTTCTGCAAGCTTCCGCCGAGCGCGTCCAGCCCCCATTGGGCTCGCGCCGCGCGCGCGCAATCAGGACGCTTCCAGCCTCGACCCCTCGCGCTGCAAGGTCGAGCCCGCGCACCCGTCCCGTTAGGCTCCCGGCCCTCAGCACTGACCGGGTCGTCTCCGCCCCCGCCCCCGCCTGACCCACTCGCAGCTCCGCCTCGAGCCTGCGCCCCCGTTACAGAACAATGATGGACATTGGGCGCGATGGGCCCGTTGCGGCGCGCAGTATGCCTCCGCATGCGCCGCCCTCCTCTCCCCTGGCCCGTCCTGCCAGAGCAGCGACGGGCTCGAAGCCTGGAGGCCATGCATCGACTGCGGCATCCGCGCCTGGCTGGCGTGCCTTGGCTGCTGGGTCTCCGACGTCTCGCTGGCCTCGCTGGCCCTGCCTTTGGTGGTTGCCGCAGCCGCTTGGGCTTTTTCTCTGTCACCGCCGCAGCGGCTGGCCGTGGGCCCAGCCCCAGGCGTGGAACCTCCCGCCGAATGGTTTGCCCGCAAGATTGTTTCAGCCATCTGCGCGACGGCGGGGAGTTCGGGGCCGCCCCACTCACCGAAGTCTGGATCGCCGCGCAACGCGGGGCAGTCCAGGCCTGGACCCAGGACCCCGTGATGCTCCGCGGCGGCCACTATGACACGCAGGAGGAGGAGAAAAGGAGGGGGAACAGGAGGAGGACGAGGGGGAGAAATAAGGGCTCCTCCTCGAAGGCCTGCTCCGCCCAGGCGCCGAACGTGGCGGCCCAATCGGTGGGGAAGTAGGCCTCGTCGAAGGCCTGTTGCTGCAGAAAGGAGTACGGGTCGGGCCACATGGCCGCGCTCCTCTGGGCGGACTGGGAAGAGAAAGGATAAGGGAAGGGGGTGCCGGGATGGGGGTAGGAGGAGGAGGAGGAGGAGGAGGAGGAGGAGGAGGAGGAGGAGGAGGAGGAGGAGGAGGAGGAGGAGGAGGAGGAGGAGGAGGAGGAGGAGGAGGAGGAGGAGGAGGATGCGATGGGTGATATGCGCAGCCCGAAGCGCGCCGATCCATCCGAAGAGACGCCCGCGCAAGAGCTTTGCTGAAAGAGGGGCCTCGCGACTGTCGAGTCCTGATGGCGAGGGAAAAAGATAATGAGGGAGGAGGCATGGAACAAAAGGGGAACTATAAATGATAATGTAACAAAAGAGAAGATGTTTTCCGTTAAAGAAATGCAGCGCCTGATGGTCTAACAAGACGGAATGTTTGAGGCGAGTCTCAGGCGGGCGCGGTGCATTGATGAGGCCTGGAGCCGAATCACCGCAGCGGGCCAGCAAACATTGAGAAACAGGGCGCCGGACAAAGAGCTACCGTTCGAATCTGGTGCTCAAACAAACCCGTCGCGCCCTCGAGCGATTCAGCACAACAGGAGGGCTCTACTAACCGCCTACTTTCATAAAGCAAGTTGATTAACCGCGAGGGGGCAGATTCACCTGGTTTCGGCATGTCCCTTAGTCGGCGGACTTCACTCCATCCCAAGGGCACATTGGCCCCCCGCGGCGCCAACCGCAAAAACATTTTACGGCGCCAGCGGAAGGGGTGGAAGTACTCCCGCTGGAGCCCGTGGGCTAGCCGAAGCAGGCTAACCCATCCTCCCGCCTGGAAAAATGCGAGGCTATCACAGAGCACGGCCGAAACAGCCGCGAGCTGCCCAGACGCAGTCCGCCAGAGCCCGCTCGAGATCCGCGAGATGCCCGGACACTGTCCGCGCGGGCCCGCTCGCCTGAATGCTCAACTCGTTAATCTCGGCCGTTTATGTCATCTATTCGCTTTCCGACTCCGTATGACCTCGTGGCGCAGTCACGAGAATCACTCCTTACTTCCGTGTGGGTGAGCCATGCTGTGAGCTCAGGCCGGCCTTCTTAAGCTTCTCGTCGCTGAACTCGACCGTGGCGTGGTCTCAGCTGATCTGGGCGTCCATCGCGTTGAGAATGAGCTCTCGGCCCACGGTGCCCTTGGTCATGGGGTCGGTCCGCGTGTCCCGAGTGTCGCGCCAGTGTAAGTCGTCGATCTGCTTGATGCGCAGCTGCTCGGCTAACCACCACAGGTGGCCATCTATACTGTTCTCGGACGGCGGCCAGACTGGATCCTTGAGGTGGGGGCCGACGACGGACGCGCCGTCGATGACGGGATCTGCAGGGATCGCCTAAACTCCTACTCCCTCCGCCCCCTGATCTCCCCATCAGTGGCGGGGCCGTGCGCCGTCTCGTGCAGCGTGAGGAGGTGCGCCTGCAGACCCTCTGCTGCGCCGCATGCTGCGAGCAGCTCAGATCCAAATGAGGATCTGCACGCAAGATTGTGCGATCGGCTCGCAGCGTCCAGCAGGTGGCAGACCTGCTTGCCGGTGCGGCGGCGCTCGCCGAGACGCATGTATGCGGCTCCTCTCGTGCCGTATCCTGACTCCTCCTCCCTCTTGAAGGGCCCGTCGCTGTGCGCGCTGAGTCGCCTGGCGCGCTCCATTGATGGAAACGCGATGCGTGCCTTGACCTTCTGCGTGGCTAGAACTCCAGACCGACTGACTTGAGCTGCATCGCGTGTCGGATTAGCAGCTTGTTCTCGGCCGCCTGCAAGGCGACGATGCCGCGGCTCCCAGGACGGAGACGCAGAGATCTGTAAGCTGACATCTGGCTGGCTCGCCAACCTTGGCCTTGACCAGGCCGACGTGGCAGATCAGTACCAGAGCGTCGATGTACTCGTCCTGGTCGAGCGTCGCGGCGCCGTGGGCAGTGCGGTGCTGGTGCACTCCGCACTTGTTGAAGTCACCGTAATCGCCCTTCATCTTGCCGAGGACGCTCTCGATGTGGCTGATCAGCCGGTCGACGTGCTCCTTGCGCCCAGCAATCTTCAGATCGTCGATGCGCTAGGACAACATGGGCACTAGCTCCGAAGACGCTGGCAGCGCAGCTGCCCGACGTCGCGTGATTGACCTCGAACTCTGGGCCCCGCGCGGTAGGTTTGGCGTCGCGCTCGCGTGGGCGCGTGGCCAGGGCGAGCTTCGTGCAGAAGGCTCTGTGCGCGTCCTTGCAGCCCGTGCCCAGCCAGATGCAGCGCAGGCACTCGGTCCGCTCGTCGAAGCTCTCGTGGCCAGGCGCCTGCCTGAGGACGGTTGCACTGCCGGGTGGCAAGGTGAGGTTCGCCTTTCGAGGTGCTTCGCCTTGCTCCTGCATCTCTGCACACGTCTTGCCTTGCAAGAATGCCTCCTCGACGCCAGCGGCGACGTGCGCCCGGTCGGGGCGACGCGCCGCCGCCGCGAGTTGGTTGGCGTTGAGACGCCCGCTTCGCTGTCTGAGCGAACGTCTCCACGGCTCCGGCGCCCGTGTCGCGGAAGCCCCTCGGCGCCGTGCGGCGCCGGATGATCCTGGCCGTCTTGCCGTCTGATCCTTTCCAGTGCTTCTACTTGAAGGCGTGTCTGGGGTCCATTGCGTTTCAAGCGCTTTTCAGCGATCGCCTCTCGAAGCATTCGGACATGGCCCAAACGGTGAGCTCCTCGAGGATGGCTGCTGCGACCTCCGTCGACAGCCTCGACGCTTCCTCGTTGGACTGAACGTCGGCGTCGCGCTCGATGACCGCAGTCTTGACGGCGGCATGAATGCTAAGCGCGGCTTTTTGAGGAGCGCCGGCGACGTAGTGGCCTGACGCAGCCTCGTTGAAGCCGAGGAATGCTTCGCGTAAGCCCGGAAGAATATACAACTCCACATGTCTACCTGCGTCGTCGTCCTTCTCTAGCGCGGCGTATTCGTCCAGGGGGGCCCCGCGCAGATAGTGGTGGCACTGCGCGTGGGTGCTCTGGCGCTGGTGCTGCGTCTTGAGCTGCTGGGGCCATTCGCGTGGCCTGCGGCCTGGGTCGGCTGGCGCGCGCTCGATGTCAGCGGAGATCTTATGTTGGCTGTCCAGCTCCTGGGTCAGATCTGCTGTCCCCTCAACTTCGCGCCGAGCTGCCGACGTCGCCCGTTGGGCGTGGTCGGAGAAGTCGGTGCCGGTCTCCTCTGTTACGTCCGGCGGTGCTGATGGTGGCCCACCTTCGTCGGTGCTGGCGGTGCCCTGGGGATCGTTGATGGCGCGGTCGTCGAGAGTTCCGCCCGGGCCCTGTCCGGCGTCTCTCACTGTTGACGGCTCATCGGCCAAGATGCACTGGATAATGCGAGCTTCCTTCCAGTGCTCGCCGATGAGCTGGAAGGTGTCGAACGTGGCGCTGTTGAGGTGGCGCTGTTGAGGAACCGCGAGATGGCCGAGCGGCGGGTGCCGCCCGGCAAGTTGCCCACATATCTGTCCGCGAGTGAGTCGTGCAGCGCGAACGTCTGGTAGCTGGATGCATCCGCGGGAAAAGACGGCGCCGGGCTGAATACGTCTAGGCGTTGTCGTGCCCGCTCGGAACTGCGCGCTCTTGGTATCCTCCAAGTGGCCCGAGGCCCTGGCCCGGGGGCCCGGTGTCGCGGCAGTCCTCTGCGCGGTCCCAGGCCAAGCCCGCTCGCGCCATGCGGGTGCCTGTCTCATCGAAGACGGCGCCGACGAAGGTCTGGGCGTCATTCAGTCTGCGGACCATCTCGGCTTGGCGGTACTTGGCCGTCGCCTTTTCTCGAGCCGCTTCTGCAGACGTGACTGTCTCAGGGCCCGCAGATCCTGGCGCATCCTTGGTGTTTGGCGGCCTGTGGATCTCCGCCTGGTCGCCCACGTTGAAGCGGCCCCCCCCTGGACTCGGTGGTGGTGGCGATGAGGGCGCGGTTGACGCGTCCGATCGATGTGGCTTCGACCGTGCGTTGCAGGGCTCTCCCGGATGCGCCGCTGCAGCCGGCTGGGCTGCGCTTCCCCGCCAGCGGGGGGCTCGGCGTCAGCGGCGAAGTCGCCTGGTGCCTCGCCCTGTTCGTCTGCTTCGAGCGCTGGCGACATGGGCGGCTGCAGTCCGAAGACGACGTCGCATGGCGTGGCGCCGGCCACGTGGGTGAGGCCGTTGCCAGCAAAAATGGTGTGGAGTCGAAGTTCGCTGTGATGCCCTCGCTCGCCAGCTGCTCCTCCATGGCGCGAGGTGCTTGTGGCGGCATGGCCCCGCGCCCTTCGGCGAAACGAGCGTGCTGGCGCGGGGCGCGCATGTCAACCTGTAGTGCGTTGCGGTCACCCCGTCCTTGCCGTCCGCGATCGACATCTCCGTCGATCCGAGCGGCTGGATCCATGAGCGGACGATGGCGGCAAGCAACGGCGAGTCGTGCTTGGACGTGACCTCTTGGCCATTATGCCACCATGGGGCGCAGCAGATCAGGTGTGTAGTCATGCGACCCTCGTAGAACAGGATGTCGCGCTCGACGTGCTGGTTGAATCGCGTCGACAGGCGGAGTGTGGGGATGGCCTGGTCTGCTGGCGGTAGCCGCTTGCGACGCTCCCTGCAGTTGTTGACCGCCGTGGGGGTGAAGGTGAGGATGTCTTGTGGTTTGTTGGCTGCTCGTAGTGCTCGTGCCATCTCCTCTTTGGTGGCATGCCGCCACCCGGGGTGTAGCTTGCGCAGCTCACGCATGCGCGTTTCGTGCGAGTCTTTGCGAAGTGCTCGTAAGGAGGTAGTGGCGTCGAAACGAGTCCAGTCTGAGGGCGTTGGGTTGCCTGCAGCTGCGTCGGCCACTCGTGGTGCTGCTCGACGTGAGCCTGATGCTGGGCTCGCTCGGGCCCCTGGTCGAGCGACGCAGTCGCCCGCTGGATGATGAGCTGGCCCCTGACCCTCCTGCGGGCGCGGGTGGTGGAGCAGCCTCGCCTGCTGCTCTTGGGTCTGCCCCTCTGGGTAGCTGAGCTTGCTGATCGCTGGAGCGATGTGGTCCTCCGCGTCGTGCTGGTGCTCGTGGGTGCTGGCTGCGCGCGGGCGCGGCCCGCCGTGGTGATCCGCAAACCTGCACTTGCCAAATTAGTGACTGTGCGTGGGGTGATCGCGTTCCTGGTCCTCTTGGCAGCCGGGGCACTCCCAGTGGATCGGTGCGCTGTGAGTGTAGCGGCGCGCTGCCAGATCCCTGGAGTGCATGGGCGAATCCGCCCGTGTGTTGCGCTTGCACGTCTTGCATGTGTAGCGTGCGCGATCGGCTGCAGCTTCGCGTCTGATCTCTCCCTCAGCGGCGCCGGTAGCCACAGCTGGGAAGTCTGTTGATCGGACGCCGCATATGGCGACGTAACTGCACTATGCCCTGGACGAATCGCTCGGCCATCTTCCATGGCAGAATTTGGGCGTCGAAACTATGGTGGCCCTCGACGTGGACGTGGGCGTGCTTGCCTGGGAAGTGGAGGTCGGCAAATTGTTCCAGGATCCCCGGGGCGTTTGAGACCAGCCTGGTGGTCTTCTTCAGGTTGCCTCAGTGGCGATCCCGAAGCCCAAGCTGACGCTGGTCAAAGATGACCTTGCCCACGCGCAGTACTGTCAGCACCTCTGGCCAGGGCGGCTTGGCAGACAGCCACGATTGTTCAGGCTGCTGCTGAGTAGCCGCGAAATCGGCCGTGTGGGGCCGCGTCCTCGTAGGAACGCAGCCAAGTGCTGTGGTTGCGATTGTAATTGGACGTAGCCGAACGACCACAGGGCCGGCAGGTGGGGACCATGATGGCCACTAGGGGCCGCTTTTGTCGGATGCATCGCTCCACGGCTTTCTGCTGGCTCTCGTCTTTGAAATCACAGCCTGTAGCCAACTCGAAGTTCTCGCCAGCTCTGAGGTGGCGGCGGATAGCCAGTCTGCTTGTCCGCGCCTCCCCACTGCATGCCTCCATGATGTCGGCGCTGTAGTCGGTGGGCCGTGACGTGGAGGATCAGGAGGAGGAGGAAGAGGAGGCTGAGGAGGAGGAGAAGTGTAAACCCAAGAATCACCAAAGATGTTGGAATAAAAGCTCCGTCTTCATTAGCTCCTACAGCGGTTCATATCCATTGAGGGAACTGCCTCGTTGGAAGACAACCGTTGGAAGATCCTGAATCATGCCAAAATATGGTTCTCGGGATCCCAACGCCACGGACCAAACTGACTGTTGCGTCTTGGCGATCCTGAATCGTGCTAGGACGCTGTCCCTGAGACTTCAACACCGCGAATCAACGTAACTGGTGCGCTGCCATAATTCCTAACGCTTCCCCCCCAAAACAAAACAATGTCTCGTGCGTTGGTCATGGGAATTCGTGAAGCTCTTGCAGCTTTCTGAAACGAATGTGCGCGGCGCTAAGGCGAGAAACACATTTTGAACATGACTCGCCTTCAATCCGTGAAGTTTTTGGAAATCTGAAAACATGTGCGCGGAACTAAAGCGAGAACCACATCTTGGAAACGACCCACCCAATCCGTGAACCTCTGCCAAGCTCTATAACGGATGTGAGCGGCATGGAGGCGAGAGCCAACTTTTGAATACCGCCCGCCCTCAATTCGTGAAGCTCTTCCAAATTTTAAATGCGACTGTACGCGGCGCTAAGGCGAGAGCTGCATTTTGAAAACGACTCGCCCTCAATCCGTGAAGCACTTGCGAATCCTAAAAGCAAATGTGCGCGGCGCTATGGCGAGAACCACATTTTGAGAACAACCCACCCAATCTGTGAACCTCCTGCGAATGTTAAAACGAATATGCGCGGCGCTAAAGTGAGAACCGCATGTTGAAAACAACCCGACCTCAATCCGTAGAGCTCTTTCAAATTTGTAAAGTGGCTGTGCGCAGTGTTCAGGCGAGAGCCACATTTTGACAACGACACGCCCTGAGTCCGTGAAGCACCTGTGTATGTTTCAAACGAATGTGCGCGGCGCCAAGGCGAGATCCACGTTGTGAGAACGACCCGCCCTCAACCCGTGAAGCTCTCATACAATGTTTTAGACGAATTTGAGCGGCGCGTTAAAACGAACAACACATTCTGAAAACCACCCGCCCTCAATCCGTGAAACTCTTCCAAGTTGTTAAAAGGAATGTGCATGGCGCTGAGACGAGAGCCACATTTTGAAAACGACCCCCCCCCATCTGTGAAACTGTTGCCAATTGTCAATACTCAAGGTCGTAAATGGTGAGGAAGTCTCAAACGGAACGCCTAGCTCGCCCTAAAAACTGGCCTCGAGGTGCGACCAGGAACACATATTCATAAGGAAAAGGGCTGGCTGAGGAGGAGGAGGAGGAGGAGGAGAGGTAGGAGGAGAGGGAGTAGGAACAGGAGGAAAAGGAGGAAGGCTGCGTCCTCCAGCGTCACGACCAGGCCGTTGCGGGCCCTTTGCCCGTCGACAGCGACCAAAAAACAAGAATACCAATCCTCAGGGGGGGGGTCCAGAGGTCTGGAGGGCCACGTTTCGGAAAAGTCACGACGTGCAACGTCTAGGGCGAGGGGACCAGGAGGAGGAAAAATGATGACCAATATCGTTGAATGCCGTGCCATTTTCGCCACGCAAGCCCCCGAACTCTCGAGGCAGGAGGCTCCAGTCGCACGAGGGGCCCAATGGGGCCCTTGCGGGGACAGCTGGTGGCGAGCTCCCTGTGCGAAACCTCCTGACTCAGGGCCACCTGCCTGTAAAGACCACCCCTGGGCGCGCAGCGGACGGCCGCGTAGGGCCCTGGCGGGGAAACGGGCAGCTGAAACAACCCCCTCTCCTCTTTCTCATCCCTCCTCCTCCTCCTCCTCCTCCTCCTGCTCTTGCTCCTCCTCCTGCTCCTGCTCCTGCTCCTCCTCCTCCTCCTCCTCCTCCTCCTCCTGCTCCTGCTCCTCCTCCGCCTCCTGCTCCTGCTCCTCCTCCTCCTCCTCCTGCTCCTCCTCCTCTTCCTCCTCCTCCTCCCTGGCCTGAGGCCAGCGGAGGCAGGCGGGTGGGGGAGGCGGGTGCCGGAGCCGGTTGCCGCCCGCGCTCCCGTTGCCGTGCGCCTGGGGCGGGGAGGCCTGCAGGGGGATGCGGCTCCCGTCGGGGCCCAGGAAGATCGGGCGCCACTCCTCGCGTCCGCGGCGGGCCCTGCCCCTCGAGGGCTCGCCGCTCGGGGGGTCGTCGTCGTCGTCGTCGTCGTCGTCGTCGACCGTTGGCCGTCGTCGTCGTCGTCGTCGTCGTCGTCGTCGTCGTCGTCGTCGTCGTCGTCGACCGTTGGCCGTCGTCGTCGACGTCGTCGTCGTCGTCGTCGTCGTCGTCCGTGTCGTGGTCGTGGTCGTGGTCGTGGTCGTGATCGTCGTCATGGTCGTCGTGGTCGTCGTCGTCGTCGTCGTCGTCAATCGTGGGTCGTCGCAGTTCGTCTCTGGTCAACCTCGCCATCGGTCGTCGCCGTCGTCGGCAAACCCAACCGCATGCCGCGCAGCCTTCGCGCGCCACCCCGCTCCCACGCCGTCCCTCGCAGGGCACGTGCGCCGCGCCCCCCCCCCCGCCCGCCGGCGCTCTCGCCCTCCCCCGCTGGAGGGGTGGAGCCGGGATCAGGGACTAAGATGCGAAGCGTATGGGTAGAACAAATGCTTTTGCCCCAAGTGCACAGCAGAGCATAGCAGCTGTAGGGCGGGCGCGGTAAGGTACCCTGAGCCAAATACCTATGGAGACCTCCCTCGCGCCTGCATGCGGGGTCCCACTTAATGGAGCCCAGGATCTTTCCTGTTCTAACCCGATAGCATACCATTCGAGTCTGGTGCTCAAGCGGGTCCGTCGTGTTTCGCTGGTGGCCTGGAAGCAAGCCGTCCAAACCACCCACAAACCACAACGGATAGCCAACGCTAAACAGCTACAGTGGTGGACGGGGCAAGGAAGGGGTTCTACTAACCACTCCTCGAACCTTCCACTGACGAGGTTCCATATATAACGTGGCACCGACGTAGAACATTTGGCAGCGCAGACGGCCTGGCAACTCCCTCTCGAGCATAGTTCGAGAGGACAACCCCTCAATGGTATATTATTGGCTGCATCGTATTCGCGAACACAGTTTGCAACGTCCGAGATTCTGCACTTCTCTCGCCCTTCATGTCGGACTGTACTGTAGCCGAAGTACTGGCCCCCCCTCAATCATGGGACCGAAGATGGCTGGTGACCGTGTCGCACTCGCAAGCGCAGTCCGCGATGTGCTATTTGGCAGCTGCGTTCGCGACAACAGTTCGGGAGATGCAGCGATAGGTGGCTTAACCTGTGGTGTCACCGATCTCCTGGTTCAGGTGCCTGTGTTGTGAGCGGGGGACGGTCTTCTTCATGTGCTCTTCCTTCAGATTGGCGATGTTGTTCTCGTTGTTGAAGTTGCCGCCCATGATGCTCGACGTGAGTTCGTGGCCGATGCTGCCCATGGTCGCGTGGTCGGCGCGCGTGTATCTGGTGTCGCACCACAGGATGTCGTCCAGCCGTTTGGGGCGGAACTGATCTGACAGCCGCCAGAGGTGCCCAACTATGCTCTTCTCTGATGGTGGTCGAACGAGACCCATGGCCAAGGCTGACAATGGGAACGTGCCGTCGACCGCGAGCTCGGCCGGCACGGCATGGCCCCCCTCCTGCCGCAGACTCCTGACCTCCTCGGTCGGAACAAGTCCGCGGACCCATCTCGTGGAGCGTCGGGTGGTGGGTCTGAAGTCCGTCGGCTACTCCGCAGGCGGCGAGCAACCCTGGGCCGAATGAGGGTCGACGCAGAAGTTTGCGCGATCGACTCCCATCGTCGAATTGGCGGTGGACCTCCTTCCCGGTCTTGCGGCCTTTATCTCGACGCATCTGTGCGGCGCTTCTCATGCCGTATCCTGTCTCCTCCTCGCGCTTGAAGGGTCGTCGCTGTGCGCGCAGAGTCGGGCGGCGCATTCCACTGCTGGACATGTGATGTGCGCCTTGAATCTTCTGCGTGGCCAGAGCCAGAGTTACGCTGCATGGCGTGCCTGATGAACAGCTTGTTCTTGGCCCTGTGCAGCGCGACGACGCGCCTCGCGACGTGGTGTTGCGCGAGCAGCGCGTAGGCGGCCGCTCCGAGGAGAGAGACAAAGAGGTCTTGAAGTGGACCTCCTGCCGGCTCATCGGCCTTCGCCTTGACTTTGTCGACGTGCCCGACGGGGGGCGGCGCGTCGATGTATTCGTCCTGGTCGAGCGTCGCTGTGCCATCGGCATAGTGGCGTGGACGCCGCAGTTGGTGAAGTTGTCTTAATCGCCTTTCATTCTGCCGAAGGCGCTCTCGATGTGGCCGATCATCTGGTCTACGTGCTGCATGCGCCCAGTGGTCCTGAAGTTGCCGACGTGCTGGGGCAGCGTGTGCGCTGGCTCTGAGCCGCTGGCGCCGTGGATGTCGGACGCCTCGTGCTTGACCTCGCGCTCAAGGCCCCGCCGCGTCGGCTGGGTGTCGCGCTCGGGCGAGCGCGTGCCCCTGGCGGGTTGTGGGGGAAATCTGGGGCGCGCCCTTGCAGCCCGTGCCTGGCTTGCGGCGCAGGCGCTCGATTCGCTCGTCGATGGAGTCGCGGCCTGGGGCCTGCCTGAGAATGGCAGCGCTGCCGGGCGGCTGGGTGAAGTCAACCTCTCACGGTTCTTCGCCCTGCTCCTGCATCTCGGCATAAGTCGCGCCCCGCAAGAACGATTTCTCGACGCCCGCGGCGACGCGCATCCGCTCCAGGCGACGAGCTGGCTCCGAGGACAGACTGCGCTGTGATGCCTGTTTCGCCGCGCCAGCGAACGTCTCCAGGGCTCCGGCGTCCGTGTCGCGGAGGCCCCTCAGCGCCGTGCTGCGCCGGGTAATCCCGGCGGTCTTGCCGTCCGATCCGTTGCGCTGCCTTGCCGCGTGCCTGGGGCCCGCGGCGTTCTGAGCGCCTTTGAGGGGGCGTCGCTCGAGACGCTTGTGCTTGGCCCATGTGGCGAGCTCCTCGAGGATGGCGGTGGCCGCCTGGTCGGTCCGCCTCGACGCTCCCAATTCGGCATGGAGATCGGCGTCGGCTGTGGTGGGCGCGCCGGCAACGTAGTTGCCCTCGTGTCAGCATAGAATGCCCCTCGCACTCATGGGTCCAGGTGCAACTCCGCGTGCTTTCCTCCTTCATCCCCCTCCTCGAGCATGGCGCAATCGTTTGAAGAGGTGCCGCGCCGGTAAGTGATGGCGCTGCGTGTGGATATGCAGACGCTAGTGCTGCGTCTCCAGGTGCTGGGGCCGCTCGCGCGGCCTGCGACCTATGCTGGCGGTCACGTGCACGACAGCAACGTGGGCCATTTGCTGGCTGTCGGAGCCCACCAGCTCCTGCAGCTCCGAAGTCAGAACCTCCGCGCCCTCAGCCTCCTGCCAAGCTGCCGACGTCGCCTGTTGGGTGCGGTCGGAGAAGTCGCTGTCGGCCTTTTCGGGTATCGCCGACAGTGCTGAGGGTGAACCACCCTCGGTGACGTTGGCGGCGTCTTCGGGGACGTCGATGACGCGGCCATCGACCGCGCCGTCCTGGCCCTGCCAGGCGTCTGCTGCTGCCGTCCTGGCCCTGCCCGAGACAAATTGGACGATGCGAGCGTCCTTCCGCTGCTCTCCGATGAGGCTGTGGGCGTCGAACTTGGCGCTGTCCAAATGCAGCTGGTGGACGTCGCTCAGGTTCCGATGGGGGCCGCCAGATGGCCAGACTGCGGGCGCTCGTCCTTCCAATGTCCGCAGGTCCTGGCTCCTGGGCCTGGCGTGATGTGCTCTATGAAGCCCTCCGCGCGATCCCAGGCCAGGCCTGCTCGCGCCGTGCTGGTGCCCATGTCGTCGAAGACGGAGCCGATGCAGGCCCGTGCGTCCTGCAGTCTGCAGACCCTCTCGGCGTTGCGGTACCTGGCCGTAATCATGCCTCTGGCTTGGTCCACAGAAAGGACAGTGCTGGGACCTGCCCAGCCCGTCGCGCCTTTCGTGCTAGGAGGCCGATTGATCTCCACCTGATCACCCACGTTGAAATCTCCCTGTCCGGTCCCGGTGGCGGACGATCGAAGTGGCCTTGATCATGCGCTGCAGGGCGATGACACGGACGCGCCGCTGCAGTCGGCCGAGCTGCACTTCGCCTCGAGCGGCGGGGCTGGCGCCAGCAACGTAGTCGCCGGGTGCTCCACCGAAAACAACGTTTCACGGTGTGGCGCCGCCTGCGTGGGTGAGGCTGTTTTGCTCGAGTATAATGCGGGCTGGCATGGGGTCGAAGTTGGCGGTCATGCTTTCGCGCTTTAGCTGCTCCTCGGCGGCGCGTAGTGCGTGTCGTAGCATGTCGCCGTGTCGCTCTATGAAACGTGCGTGCTGGCGCGGATCACGGATTTCCACCTGGGCCCCCATTCTCCTCATCTCCTCTACGAAGTACTTGGAGGTCACCCCGCCTTCGCCGTCCACGATGAATGTCTCCGTTGATCCAAATAACTGGATCCACAACCTGTCAACAGCTGCCGGCAATGTTGACTCTGGCTGGTATCAGCACGTGATCTTCTGACCGTTGTGCCGCCGTGAGGCGCAGCAGATCAAGTGCAAAATCGTGCGGGCGTCGCAATGAATGATGTCACGTTCGGCGTGCAGGTTTAATCGTGTCTAAATTCGTAGCGTGGTAATGGTTTGGTGTGTTTGGTGTGCTTGTGGTAGCCACTTACGAGATTTCCGACATTTGTTGACTACTGTGGGGACGATGTCGAGAATGGCCTTTGGCATGTTGGCTGCGCGTAAAGCTCGTGCCATCTCTTCCTTAATGGCGTGCCACCGCAGGAGATGTAATTTGCGTGGCTCTCGCATTCGTGTCTAGTGCGAGTCGCCACGTGGTGCTCGTAGTGACGTGGCGATAAGCGAGTGCAGTCTGCAGGCGTGCCTGCAACAGCGTCGGCATCTCGTGGTGCTGCGCGTCTCGGTGCAGCGCCGGTTGCCGGACTGGCTCGCGTGTTCGTGGACCAGCAACGCAATTGCTGGATCCTCTGCCCGGAGTCCCAGCGCTGGACAATGAACTGGCTCCTGGTGTATCTGCTGGTGCCGGCGGTAGTTTGGCCTCGTCTGCTGCTCCGAGGTCAGCTCCTCCATGTGCTTGCTGATCGC